GAATAAAATAATTATTAGACTGGAGAGTTGTGCCACCCTCCCGGGGTGGGACATTCTTCTGAATGCCATTAGAGGTGGAAGAGGGTATCTCTGCTACTCAGTTGTCTTTTCCTCGATCAAAGGCTGGGAAAGGGGTTTGCCTCATATATGATAATGCTTCAGTGTTTTCACTGAAGTTCTGTCAAAGATTTATCCACAGGGTTAGAGGTTTAGGGGAGGACAGGGTTATACAGCACTCAGTAATTAAGGGGTTAAAGTAAGTTTTCACGTGTCCTGTCTCTGTTTTCCATTTATAGGGAATCTGGCAGGGTCTGAGTAGAGGAAAAAAAAATCCTTGCAGTCCTGTGTCCATATTAACCAAATGTTCATTATATTGTAGCTGAGGAGGAGGACAGAAGCTGTCCTTGGAAATAGGTTCTGTTAAGCCATGACATGCTGCTTACTGTGTGCCCTACTTAATGTGGGGAATCCAGGCGTGTTGCTGGACTTCCAGCAACCAACAGCCATGGGCAAGGCCCTGAAGAGTGGAGAGAACCCTGAGCTGTGCTCTTTCTTCCTCGTCTCATGTGGAGAGAGCTTCCTGCTGCTCCATGTTGTAACCACAGCTCAGTGCTGCTCTTTCATGGACACCAACAGGTTTTCAGTCCCGCCATTTGCCTGGCTTGTGGCTGAGCTCTGAAGCTGTGAGCACTTCCAGTAAGTTTCTTGCCTTCCCTAACAGCTTCCTGTACCCCCCCCATGATGTTCTGACTGGGGTGGTCATCCTGAGGTCCTCACTCCTAATAGCCTTGCCATAAATAGGGGAGAGTTGGTGAAAGTTGTTTTTTCAGGGCAGACTTGGAGCACTCATCTTGTGCTAGTGCTGTCATCCTCCTGCGCTGTGTCAGCCTGCGTTGCAGGTCAGTTTGTGGCCATAAAACTTGTCATACTTGTGGTGGGTCTGAATCTGTGTCTCCAGAAGGGAAGCAGCTTCGTAATTACATTTTCAAATTTAACAGGTTTGCATTGGTTTTCAGTTCAGACAGTACGCTCCTTAGAAGTAAGGAAAGAGCTTACTTCCCAAAGTGATTCCATATTATTGAACTCGTGAGCAAGAGCAGCAAAATGCCATTTTAAGACCTTTTCCTCGATTTGCCTGTCAGAATCTTTCTAGCTCTGCAGTAGTGTGGCAGGCAGATGAAGAGCTGTTTCCTGTTCTTGTACCTGCTGCCATACCTGATCAAAGAGGTTTTCGTGAGAGAGCTGATTTTTAAAATGCAGTTTGATTTTGGGGAAGTCTTTCTGTCATTGCCTGAGCAGAGTATCTTGAGAGTAGAATGCAACTGTTTACCTGAAGTTGAATTTTATGTCTTCTAGATCTCTTCTGGACTGGGTCACATCCCGGACTCACCCTGCCCTCAGGATGGGATGTGGAGTGAGTCACTGGCGTTACCAGTCAAGACTGTACCCCACAGCACTGGTGTCAAGCTTGTGCCTGTTCATTGCTGTAGTTGACGATACAACACGTGCTTTAGAAGCCGCGGTCCTGCAGGGAGGTTAACCCGCTGGTGTGGCTGGTGCCTTGTGGGTTCCCTTCAGGCAGGAGTGAGCGCACTCAGCAGAAGCCACGCAGGGGTTGCCCAGCTCCTTCACTGGCTGGGCTGGTGCTTGGCTGGTGGTCAGGTTTCTGTGGCTGTGCAAGACATTTTTGGGAAGTACTGTGGGCTACAGGCGGTTAGGGAATGCCTTCATTATTCTAAAGCAGAACAGGGTCATACTGAGGCATTTGGGCATAAACTCTTTTCCAGAAAATTTAAGATGATTTACACATAAGGGAGACAGTGAAGCACATGGTAGTGAGCACTTAATATTTTGGGAAGGATTGACCAAAATTTGATGTTTTCACTTCTGCATGATCGCTTTTGATCATTTACATTTGATTTAATAATGGATTATAAAAAAAAAAGTCATTCTGTCTTTCTAAAATGAAATCAGTGTTCGGGGCTTATGTGTTGCTTGTTCACAGAGCTGAAGCTTTTGCCATCAGATGGAACTTGGGGATAAGTTTTTCCCCGGTATGAATGTCAAAGATTTAAGGCACTGTATTGGTTTGTTGGTAAACAAAGGGCGTCATCAGGAGGAGGAAGCAAGAAATGGTTGCCTTTTTTTCATCATTTTTATCGTGTTGACACTTCTGGTCACTGTAAGCGCTGCTGGAGCTTTGTGTTCTGCAGCAGGAAAGAAGAATCAAGAAGGATTTTGGCTTTAGAATATTCTCTGGCATTTTGGCGGTGATCATTGTCTTGATGAATACAGAGCCCTGAGAAATTTAAACATCCATTGTAACCATTGCAGCGGCACCCACATGCAAACAGGGTCTGCTTGAATCCCTTGAAAAATAGCATCATTTGTGGGGCAGGCGCTATGCTCCCTCGATGAGGTTTTCACGACACCTTCTAATTCTTGTTCACTGTGCACGCCGTAATCCGCCGGCTCCAGATGTTACAAAATGGTTGTGTTGTGGATATTAGTAATATCAGAGCGCTTGAAGCACAGAAATCAAGAGCTAATTAAAAAGAGAGCATCATCAGCCATCTGCTGTTTATCTCCTCCTTCCTAACTCAGCAGTCAGGCTGGAGGAGACACTGAAGTCGGCTCCTCTTCCAGCAGCTAATGAACTGGAGTGTGTATTGCCAAACAAACTTCAACTGAAAAATACTAATTTATTAAGAAGGTAATTTATTTGCTGTGGCAGCTGGAGCAAGATGCTTGAAACAGACACCCCTCTTGGAGCTGTCAGAGGATTGCCCCTGGGAGCAGCTGCACAAATGGAGGTTGCTAATAAGAAAGCAGAATGCAATCATGACTTTCTACTTGTATCCCCCAGGGTCAGATTCCACATAAGGCAACATTGTGTGAATAAAGATTTTAATAAAGCAACATTGATGGATTGTTTAAGCGTCTCTCTCTCTCCCCTGTTTCTCTCTCTCTTGTCTCAACACGTGGTGGGCTGAACGTTTGAAGTGTTTTGCTCCTGATGTTCCACAGTTATTCTTTCACTAATAGTTATCAGTGGCGTTTATTCCCATCACGTATATCCGAGAATGGAGTCAAATGTGCATGTTGTTTGCAAGAGCCCTGTTGGTAAGGAAAGATGCGTTTAAGAAGTATCCCAAAGTGATACTAAAGAACGCACCTAGCGTTAACTGGTCTTCAGACAGCATTTGGAAGTGTGTCCCAAGGCCCTGCGCCTGCCAAGCATCTAGGCTGCTTCCTTGGTGCTGTCCCAGGAGGTTGGCTTTGTTACGGGGAGCAAGGGATGTGTGTTGAGTTGGTAGGAGTTGTACATGAAGTTGTTCATGGTTGGCTTTTCCGAGCTTTTATTGAAGGGCTTTTATTTAGGGCTACAAAGATGATGAAGGGAGTGGAGCATCTCCCTTATGAGGAGCGGCTGAGGGAGCTGGGTCTCTTTAGTTTGCAGAAGAGGAGACTGAGGGGAGACCTCATTCATGTTTATAAATATTTAAAGGGTGAGTGTCACGAGGATGGAGCCAGGCTCTTCTCAGTGACAAACAATGATAGGACAAGGGGTAACGGACACAAACTGGAACACAGGAGGTTCCACTTCAATTGGAGAAGAAACTTCTTCTCAGTGAGGGTGACAGAGCCCTGGCCCAGGCTGCCCAGAGAGGTTGTGGAGTCTCCTTCTCTGCAGACATTCAAAACCCGCCTGGATGCCTTCCTGTGCAACCTCATCTGGGTGTTCCTGCTCCGGCAGGGGGATTGGACTGGATGAGCTTTGGAGGTCCCTTCCAATCCCTAACGCTCTGTGATTCTGTGAAGCCCTGTATGAGAGGGGACAAGTAAATAACCATCAAAATGTGTTCCCACAGCGTTCTCAGAAGCTTGTGTTCTTAATAACCCAGTGCAGTGGGTGTTTCTGAGGTAGGAGGTGACGCCTCTGAATGTTGGGCATCTGGAAGCCGCTGCGAGCTGCTGTGTACTTCTGAGGACTGCGTGAGCTGCTCTCAGGCCCCGTACAGCTCCTGGGGACAGGACACCACAAAGCCACCAAGGTGCTGTGCTGCTTCTGGAAACGTGGGAATGATCTTTGACCTGGCTTGTAGCATCAGCGTGGTGATGCAAAATGACCAGAGGGCCCTGCTTTTTGTTAAACTAGAGTTTCTCTGTTGAAACTTTGGACTTCAGCACTGCTGAATTTTGTAATAATTGTTCTGGGGGTTTTATTTTGGGGGTTTTGTGGGGGAGTATGTTCTGGGTTTTTTTGGTCTCTTAGCATTGTGTGGTGACAATAATTCTTCGTAGCCTTCATCTCTGGTTTTGAGGTGCCAGTTTGCTTGGGGAGCAGGACAGGATTGTTGCTTGTGTAGAAGCAGTTCAACAGCTTGCAGAAACTCCAGATGCTTTTAAGTTTTGCAAGGCTGAAATAGCTAGTTTTGAAAGCTGTTTTTACAAGCACTTTGTTGTATTACTGCAGTGTAATTTTGGAGTGGTTGTCCTCAGTTTCAGGGTGAGAATTCACATAACGGAAAGATTTTAAAGTGTGTCTGATTATGTGATGAACATAATTTTGCAGAAGAATGAACAGAAACAACTTGGAGCCAATGGAGAACCAAAGGCTTTTGAAAATCAGCTTTCTCTGAATTTCTTTCATATTCTTTACCTACAATTTTTTACTGATCCTAAAAGTTAGGAATTAAAATAAGTTCATAGTTCATATATTGCAAATGTGGGACTGGCGCTTTGTTGGTTTTTATTATTGAGTCTCTCAATATGTTTAAGAGACTGGGGATAGGACTTTGTGAGGAAAAGAAAAAGGGAGGAGGGAGAAAGACTCCCCTATATCATTTATTCTGGATCTTCCTTTTATTTGCTGACCTAATGAATGGCTTTATATACTGACCTGCTGGAGAGAGACTCTCCTCTTGTTGCCTTTTGTCAGAGTTGCTCCATGGATGCTTGG